AGTAGCTTTACCGCCATTCTCGGCAATGATGTTTATTGACTACTCTATCACTCCAGAATGTAACTACTTTACAATACAAAACACGCTTATATATGAGAGAGAGAGATAACTGCATGGAATAACAATAGAAATAGGATAAGAAGAATAGAAGAAAGGAAGGTCAGAGGAAGGTGATATGGATATCGGCACACACAAACATTGTTAATCGAAAAAAATAAAAGAAAAACGCTGTATGATAGGTCTGTTATGTGTGTTGTTGTTCGATTGAATTTTAATCGAATAAACCCAATCCCTGAAAAATAAAAATGTCAAAATAAATAAAAATAAAATAAAAAATAGAATTTGTATACCATATCTTCGTCGTCTGAATGTTCTTTTTCTTCTGTCTTTGGTGCTTCTTTACCACCAGCAGCTACTTTCTTATCATCAGCTGCAGGTGTAGTTGTAGTTACTGGAGCCGAAGCAGCACTAGGTACTGGGACGGAACCAATATTTTTGATAAGATCTGTTACTTGTGCACCTTCTAATGCACTTGCAAATAGACCAGGCCAATATGGTTCAATTTCATAATTCGCAGCTTTTAAAATAGTTGCAATTTTATCACTTGTAATATCAACATTATCATCAGCTAAAATAAGTGCTGCATAAATACAAGCAAGTTCATCATTGCTTAAAGCCATATTATTTGTTTTAAATGACGAAAAATTTGATCTGAAAAAATGAGAATAATATCAGTTTCATAATGTTCATACAAAGAAAAGAAGATATTGCCTAACTTGATTTTTTTTAAACGATACTTGTTAAAATTTATACACAAATGCAGTATGATTCACTTATTTTTGCTCAATTTTCTTCAGTTCATTGTATTTCTACAAAACGTCAAAAATTTTTATTTCTATATGATTAGATAGAGCGTTGATTGCTCTATTCAATGGTATAGTTTTTATTGGATTTGTCTGATGTGTTGGTTAAAAAATGAGTAAGTTTCGTGAAAAAATAATAAAAAAAATTTTCTGTAGAATTTCGAGATGTTTTCTTCGAGTAAGTATAATGTATTGGAGAAATGAATATATTTCGTCTTTCTATAGTTAGATAGAGAATTCATTTCTCTATTGAACCATCTATTTTTTATCCAATTTATTTTCCATTTTGACTGAAAATTTACTGAATATTTAATAAATTTCTTCGTTAAAAGTTCAATTATTTGTCTTTGTTGAGTAAATTATAGTTTAATAGAGCAACAATTCTTCTATTGCTTTATGTAATTTTAATCTGATTCGGTTGTAAGGTCTTATAGATAAATTTGAGGTTATATTCATAGCACCGGAGATGAAATAGTGCGAAAGTGTCGAAAATTCCAACGGTAAAATTTTATTTCCTCCTCGAATTTAAAACAGTTTCATCCGATACTTGATGCAACTTTAAGTTTGACGGATCTCTTCCATTTAAAGCTAATTTCGCGACAATCGGGTTTGGCCTTAGTTAAGCACACGTGTGCAAAAGTTGTTTTTAAACTAGTTTTAAAGTTTTTAAGATTTTTCTATTAAGACATGAGATAAAACAAATGAAAACTATGCTGTTGGATAGAGCAATCAACGCTCTATCTGATCACATAGAAATAAAAAATTTCTAACGTTTTGTAGAAATACAATGAACTGAAGAAAATTGAGCAAAAATAAGTAAATCATGCTGTACTATATACAAGTGTTTTATTATCCTTCACAAATCCAATGATCATTGTTAAAAAAACGAAATTTCTGGCTTAATAACATGTTGATGATCAAGTTCATTTAACGAAACTCTAACTCCTCCAGATATTTATATTTAATACATGCGTATGATACTCATACTTATCACCG